CAGAGAAATCGATAAAAAAGCGTTACGTAAAATTTGTGACACCCCTTTTGCGCATGATCATTGAAAAAATAAGCGGCACTGCACCCGCTTTTTCATGAAGAGATGTGTACAGGCGTGACGGTATGGCACCTGACCGCATGGACATCCTCAATTTGTTGTTCCTCTGACGTTAGGGCGTAACTTGATTTCCACACGAGCCTTGTTCTCCATAAAAACATATGCTGTTCAGGGTTCATGCGGAAATAGAGATACGTCCTTACGTCAGAGGAGGGACGAAGTCTTCCTCACCGAGCGATTCTCCGGTGCGGTGCATGAACTTACCGCACGAGGCGAACGCCGCACAGTGGAGCATGATGAGCCTTTAGAAGTTCGTATCCTCTTTACTACCACACGTAGAAGTTTAAATGCGGTTACGTTGGTCCTCTCATAAATTTATCCTCAAAGAGCACCCCTTTAAATGTGTAAGTGATGAAATGGTCAAGCAAGATCTATGAAAGGAGACCTTATTTCCCGGGAACAAATTGTACGTCTCAGTTCGAAAACGACACAACCGGGTTCTTTACGATGTTAATTTTTTTGCGTAGGAAAACTCATTTTCTGGTATCTACGCAGTTTTTATAGCCTCCTGAAATATTCCGTTTTCCCGAGATGGGGCATGCTCTGGGAGATTTAATTGGCTGGGAGAGCCGAATCTAGAGGAAAAGGTCACAATTGGCGACTTTGATTTCTCAACGGGAAATGATCTCTAGAAGCCATGGGAACAAGCTACGCACCGTTTTAGCTTAGTTTTCACATCACAGAGGGCGCTGGCTGCTCTTTTTCATGTCAGAATTCCGCACCTAATCTAAATTTTCACCTAGTTCACCTACAACTTAGGAATTTTCGTCTTGGAACTTCAAGACGTTACTTTTCCCTCGATTTTTTAACTTTTAGGATCAAACCTGCGTTAAAATGTATTGATTTTTCTCTTTCATGCTGAGGTCCCGATGGATTCTAAATGTTTGCAAGATAAAGTATTAACCTACCACAAATGGACCGCGTTTAGCAGTCAAGGAATCAAGCCACATCGGATATTGCCAAAAACTCAGCGATTTAACTTATCACAAGAGAAAGTCTGTACGGATTCCTTTGAAATTTTTAAGGAATTTAGCATACTATGCAGAAAATTTACCAAAATTCGCACAGAAACCCGCACCACCATTTTCAAGTAAAAAACTCTAATGCCCCAATTAAGTTCGGCAGTAGCTGACGTGGCTTGGTTTCTTTCTACCTAATGTGGTCCAAATATGCATGGCAGTTTCAGGCAATAATTTCGTGTCAGCAGAGCTCTTTGAATGGCTCATTACCAAAGACATAAAGACGGAGCACTAAAAGCAAAAAATGAAGCTTCTCTTCAATCACCTCTACTTCCTCTACTATTGGCTAGAGGATTGGCGGCAAAATCGGGACAAGTTTGAAATTCAAATGTAGGGCGGGAACTTAATAAAATTGCGGAAACAAAGTATTTTAGGTTGATTTTTGCCGAAATTCACTTACACACTCACATTTTTATAACTTTAGGTTAGTTTTGGTCCGTCGTCGAGCGATTAAATTTCATTTTGGAGTAACGGTCATCAACGACTGTAATGGCCTGTTTGAACCGGCAGAACCACCATGAGCAGAAGAAAAACCAACTTTATCTGAGATTACTGCCTGTTACCTAGCAAAAGTAGGTGTATAATAGTAGGACGCAGTCCCAAATTTCTTAATATATTCGTTTTAGGCATTTAAAATACGTTTCGAAGAAGAAATGTGGAAAAATCAAGAGGACAAGTTCAAATCAAATTTCCGTTTGCCGCCATGGATTTCCGCGCTCATTTACACACTCACACAAACACCCAGCGCCAAACCAGGCTTCACTTTTTCCCCGTGCTTTCAGATATGAGCACTCCGTCTTTATGTCTTCGCTCATTACTGTGCGCCGAGTGGAGGAGGAATTGGATCGGATGGAAATGGATCTGTAACCCCTTTCATGACGTGGGCTCCAACGGCGATGACGTAAGCGTGGGCTGGAGGCTCGCCCGTGCTGCACCGAATTGCCCGCGGCATCCGTAGTTCTGTCGTACGCAGGTGTAAGTTTCAGAGCGAAATTGATGGGACCGCTTGCGTTGCCACCTCGTCGGTTAAATTCGGCTATTCTACTTTGGCTTTCCATCCGCATGTTCTCTCTTCTTCTCTCTCATAAATACTTGGAATTACCGGAAAAGTCCTCTCAAAATGATTCTGACAGCGATTCTCTAGATAAAAATTTCTCCTGATCTGGACTCGACTTGTGGATTACATTTTTCAATAAGAAACCACTATCTCTGGCCAATTTAAGGAACAACGTACCACATACAAACGTGCCATTGGTTTCCCTATGCAGATAAGTGCTTTTATGGGAGAGCCAGAGATAGTGGCTCCTTATTTCAAAATGTAATCCATGTGTTCCTTTTGCTGATCATGTGGTCTACCATTCAGAAAAAAGGAGGCGATCACGGTTTCATCATTTGTACCTCTCTACATCATAACTCCCCTCCAAAAATTCTTCCCTTTCCCAATCGCCCCTTATACTTTTTTACGGCATTAAGATGACCGCCAATAATTAAAAGGGTCAACATTTTTTTTTTTTTTTTTTTTTTTTTTTTTTTTTTTTTTTTTTTTTTTTTCCTCTTGCCATCGTGGTCTACCGTCGTAACTTGGTCTTACTGCGATCGCGGCTTCCCACAACAGGTGTTGAACTTTTTGTATGCCGAAAAACAATTCTATAAATAGTACAAAGCCACGATGGATTAAATTATTCAAGTAATAGGCCATCCCATCCCTCCAGAAAAGCTGTACGAGTTTGCAAACATACAATGATCGTTGGTATAAATTAATATACAAATTTGAGAAATTATTGGTACGGATTAATATACCAATATAGAAAAGGTGATGATCTGGCAACCGGGGAATCTCGGCGCTGTCACTTTATTACCATGAATTGTTTTGACAGTGTGACACTCTAACGCGGCGGTTCTCTTGATACCTCAGAACTACCCTGCTAGGCAAGAACCTCTTAACTTTAAGATAAATCCAATGTAAGCACGCGGTTTTTGCCTAAAACGACAGTAAACTGTCAATGAGCCGCTCCCCGCCAGGACTTTATCTGGTGTGGATGAACAGGGCTCGAAGGTTGACTCTCCAGATGATCACCTCTTTGAGGCCTATTAAAATGATTCGATTCATCGATTGTCTGGTACAACCTCACTGGAAAAAAAAAAAAAAACACATTGGATCTAGAGTCTTGGTCTAGAGTCTCTTGAAAACATTGGCAAGAAAAAATACTCTTGATTCAATAAGATTTTTGCTCAAATCAAAAGGAAATCCGCTCAAATTAAAAGGCTTGGTTCTTGATTTAAGCAAAAATCCGATTGAATCAAGAGTATTTTTCCTTGTCGATGTTTTTAAAAGTATGGACTCTACATCCAATGCGTTTTTTTCCCAGTGTAGAGTCGGGGGAAAAATATGTAGTGTTTTCTCCCATATCCTAATACTGCGTTCATAATATATCTGATACTGATTTGAAAAAGGCCATGACTGGATAGTGAGCTGCAGGTCAACCGCAGGGACCAACCACAAAATATCCATAAAAACAAATTGCAGCTCCCATAACTAGACACCTAATGATATACATTAGTCACCAGTGCGTACTCTTGGCAAGGTCTCCATTTGCGCGCGGACACATAAATTAAACGTCAACCCGCGGTGCGTATAACTGACTCAAAATCTGGACAGCTCCAAGTTTTATGAATATTGGTTTAGCGTAAAATAAACAGAAAACTCGCATATTACTTGCATTCAGGGTTCGGTGTGTTTAACTTACACGTATCATGAATGTTGCCGGATTGAACGAAAAATTGGTACCGAAATTATTTTAAATGATATAGAGAATAACATATTGTTGAATATATTTGTATCAAGTAATCTTTAAAATAGTAAGTCTTTGATGGATGCATCAAATGGAGGACGCTGTGATGATAAGCGGTTTTACAAATTTCTTAAAGTTTGAATTTTCTCTGCACATGCTATATCATGATGAATTTAATTTAATAATGATGTAATTTGAATTCATTTAACTGAAAAATACTCATTATCTATTGTAGCAACACTGGAAAAAAAACACATTGGATCTAGAGTCCAGACTCTTGAAAACATTGACAGGAAAAAATAATCTTGATTCAATCAGATTTAAGCTTAAAATCAAAAGGAAATCCGCTCAAATTAAGAGGCTGGGTTCTTGATTTAAGCTTAAATCTGATTGAATCAAGAGTATTTTTTCTTGTCGATGTTTTAAGAGTCTGGACTCTAGATCAAATGTTTTTTGTTTTTTTTCCAGTGAACTTTCTGAAATTATTGAATTTTATGTTCTTTTTCTCAATATGAGTTGGAAATAGTGACTTTCCGTATGTGGTTTAATTAAAAATGTCATTTACCACAATGAGTGTTTTGTGTTAAATGAGGATTTGCCTCTGTTTGGAATGAGCACAGTCAGTGACAATATATTTCAAAGACTGTTTGCAAAGACCACTTTACTATTATTTTAATGGTGTAATTTTACTAGCGGAAATCAACGCTCTGATTCATCTAATGATGACTGATGACACAAGAGTTGAGCAAGTGGTTCAGCAATCACCTTCAAACGAAAAATGGTGTTGATCTCCAAATTTTATCCTGTGTTTTGCTACATTGCATTGTTTAGATTGTTAGTGTCATCTAAAATATATTTTCTCTGAGTGTAAAAGATGCGCATGGTTTCTATTGTGTTTTTTCTTCTTTTTTTTTGTTTTTTTTTTTTAAAAACATACATAAATATTTTCTCAAAAATGAGTTGTCAGTATGGTAATAAACATTCGGTTTTTCTATGCATACATTTTTAGTTCAAAAGCACAAACTTGCGTTTCATGCTTTCTTCGTGCATGACAAATTAAAAAGACGTTGTATGAGCTTTCGGATTTTTATTTTTGAGTTTTGAATGGTTCAATAAATTAAAATGTTTGAAGTGGATGGGGGTGAAATAAATTAAGAGGGATGGGGATGGATGGGTAGTGATGAAGTGCACTCTTAGTAGCTGGAGCCATGAGAGTAGCTGGGTCCGGATGAGGAGCCATGAGAGTAGCTGGGAGCAGAGTAGCTGGGAGCAGAGTAGCTGGGAGCAGAGTAGCTGGGAGCTGAGTAGCTGGATCCATGACCGTAGCTGGATCCATGACCGTAGCTGGGAGCGGAGTATTGTTGCTGTGTTGGGTAAAGGTTCACGTTCTGGTAGGAGGTGGCGGCTCCGTGTCCGTATCCAGAAGATCCGTATCCGGATGATCCATGTCCGTATCCGGAAGAACCTCCGTATGAGGAGGCACCGTGTCCAGAAGATCCGGAAGAACCTTGTCCGTATGAGGATCCGGAAGATCCTTGTCCGTATCCGGAAGATCCGTGTCCGTATCCGGAAGATCCGTATTCAGCGGCGGCAACAACGACGACGGCGGCGAAGATGAACCACTGAAAGCAATAAAATTACACAGTTGAAATATCGGGTAACATCATACTAAGTGATCATAAAAGTTCCGCACAATCCCTAAAACCCTAAGGTTCTTGTCCCTTTTGGGGGTGATCCCCTTAATTTTTGTGTGAGGGGGCGGGGGGCAAAAGTCGTTCCTACGAGCACTTGTTCAAGTCAATTTGCTCCAAAGTTACGAGGGGGATGCTAGATGCTGGCGATGTAGGATTCAGAGGTTTGGCGCACCAATATTCGATTTAAAGAGCAGTTTCGAAATTCGATTTTTGGGGAATACAGGAATATTAAAAGCCTTGGAACTTGAGGCTCAACAGAAAATTTGCCCCTTTAGTGAGACGAGAGATGATATAAATGTAGTTTTCCCATTAATGAAATGAACGAACAAATAAATGAAAAAAATAATTTAGTTGTTACCTACTGCGGTATTATTGTTTCAAACAAGTTCTCATTAAGTTGGATTTTGAAAATCTTTGGAAGTCGATTCATAAAATAGGAACAAAGTCTCAGCTTTTAAAAGAACAAGATCCGATCTGTAGTAAAGTATCAAGCTAAAGTTATGGGTTTCAAAGGTGACTTTTGAAAGTACGTTTTTAGGAATCAGTTTGATGTAAATATATTCTCAAATTTCTCAGTCTCAAATATGAAGCTCATATACAGTTTTAATGCGTTTTGGAAAATTGTGACTTACTTTGAAGAAGGCCATTTTGAGTTTGGGTGTTGTTGTTGGTTGCACAGGGAACTGTAAGAATTAACTGTGAGGAGTGAATGATGCTGATTTGTTAGCGGCCAGCTTTTATATGTCTCCGAGTGCCTAATCTAAAGCATAAAAACCAGCACTTAGGAAGGACATTTTCGCGAAAAGTCTGAATGAAAAAAGCTCGTGAAAAAAAGAGCAATAAAAAAACAGCGCATTACGCTTGATAAAAAGTTGTCATGATTGGAGATGATAATGAGGATATTGATTGAATTCGTTTGTTAATTGGTACGTCGGAAAGTGTTTTTCATCATGTATCCGAATATGTGTTGGTGAATTAGCGTACGTTTTCGTAGGAAGAGTTTAACTGGGTGTGTGTTGACATCGGATTTGAGGACGAAGGTCATTGCATCCTCGTAAACTCGTTCCGTGTAACAATTCAAGAGAAAGAACAAGAATTAATGACAAAAGTTTTATTCTCTCTGATCCCAAAATCGCAGTGACATCCGTGTGTTTTTCGTGGTTGGTTCGTTCGACATATGCATCTTCTATCTGTGGTTATCTTACTCTGAGCTTCCGGTAAACAAGACATGAGTTTACAAGTGGTGTATTGTTCCATCTCGGTTTACCGTGTCAAAAATTTGCGTTGGCGTCGATTATTTTGATGAAAATAAAAATTTTATACTGCCTTAATATGATTTTCTTGTGCTTTTTCCTATCGTCAAGTATTATTAATTCCTTATAATACACCAATAATTCAATTCCTCAATGTTTTTATTCTTCACATCATTGCTGTGCAATTTGAAAAAATTAATACATTTGTGTTTTGCTGGTTTACGTATATATGAATAAACAATTTACGGGTCGGCATATCTCGAGTCTCGCGTGTGTTAAAAATGGTACATACGGTAAAGTATGTACATGTTTGAAACATCGTAGGAAGCAGTTAAGATAAATAAAACATGCGAAATAGTCTAATCAGCAGCATACTAACAGCTTTTCCCGCATTTCTCTTGAAGACTTGGTCAACTAATTGTCAAAAATCAAGAGTGCCTGACCCTTTTAATGTAAATTATCTAGGTCCTTTTTGATCGGTGAAACGATCGATCGAAAGAAATGCGTATCTCGGCTTGCGGCGTTTAAGACCTCCAGTCATACTTTATTTTCTGCATGGAAAATTACTGAGCGACGTTTTTTGATAACTTCGGTGATTTTTTTTCTGTACGTGAGTAATGCTCTATGAAAATTTTAAGCCATACCCTTAGTTAAATCCTATTTTAAAACATGAAATAGGAGCGGAGATTTGCAACACTGTAACGGAGGCACGTATCTTTGGTGTTTAGCGCCGCGCGCATTTTTCACGTGTAACAATATTCTTTTTCTCAAACAATTTATGATCGGAAATAAATGCACATTTTTTATTAATTTTTATACTGCTAAAAGAGGCCACTCCTCTAGGAGGTGCGGATTTTCCAGTAACCAGGATCCCGAGTGCTCAATTTTTATTTTTTTCTGTTGGACAGGTGATAGTAGCATAGGCATAATAGCATCGGCCGTTTAAAAGGAGTTAACAACTCGTTTATTTCACAGAGGAAAACTCTTGAAAAAACTGTGTAAATATTCGAGTTAGGAAACCCTTTTGGTTTTTCAGTGTGTGATTTCTACCTTACCGACCTTTTTACACGTTTTTATAACTTTATCGTAGTGAAATTGTCAAGTTTTTAACGTCGAATGTTTTGCAGTTTATTTTGTTTAGTATCAATATAAGTGAATTTTAGAATTGAACGCACTTTCATTACAATATTTCCTTCTTCTTTTACATTTTACATGAATTTATCTACAGTGAAAATTGAATGCTTTTCTAACTCATACATATAAAATTTTTTTTAAAAGTTTTTTCGTACACTCGAGAAAGAAAGAAAAAAAAAAAAAAAAAAAAAAAAAAAAAAAAAAAAACACATTGGATCTAGAGTCCAGACTCTTGAAAACATTGACAAGGAAAAATTCTCTTGATTCAATCAGATTTTTGCTTGAATCAAAAGGAAATCCGCTCAAATTAAAAGGCTTGGTTCTTGATTCAAACAAAAATCCGATTGAATCAAGAAGTAGATGATTGAATCAGAATCAAGAAAAGAGTATTTTTTCTTGTCGATGTTTTTAAGAGTCTGGACTCTAGATCCAATGTGTTTTTTTTTCCAGTGTAGTCCTTTAACACTCAGTGCTACTAGAAAAGACTGCAGAGGCAGAGGATTTAAGCTATTTGGCTAGCGGATTGTAAAAGCCGCAGTGGCTATCCAAGTTTTTTTGGGGGCCGGAACCGGAGAATCGACTTGTTTTCATTCAAGGAGGAAGTGCCTTCAGCTTGTCCTTCACCGAGATGGATAATGGCTCAAAAGAGTAAAACGATGCTTATTGTCGATAGCAACTTCATTCTACCACAGTCTTGTCGGGTCCAATAAAGCATCTCAAACTTCAAACAATAGGTGTCCAGACCTATATTGGTCTCCATCTTCCGCTAATAGGAATCTAACATTTTTTTTGCATATAGATGAAATTAATTTGATTTGATGCGTTTTTTTTGTTTTTAATTTTTTTTAAAATGAAATCGAGATCGCAAGACACGTTTTTCCTCCTAATTTTGCAATAAATAAGTACTATCTCTTCCTTATTCATTAAAGCCTTCATCTGCACGAGGAAACCAATGGTGCACATGTGTTTTCTAAAAGGAGCCGGAAATATTAGTACCTAATTTTTTTGCAAAATGTAGTCTTTATATTCAAAATAATGACAAAGGAATGGACGTCTTGCAATGAGGTACTACCATTTCTGACTCAACCATAAAATAATTAATTATCTGCGTAGGAAAACTAATAGAGCATATATTGCTTCTAACATGAGCCAGAATCAGCACAGTTGCTGCAAAATGTACCTAAGCCAAATGATTTTCAGACACTATACATTAAATTATGTACCTAAAAGATAATGTCAATGGTAGAGAGGGAAAAAAGTTGCAAAGAGATATGGTGGTAAGTTTACTGATAAAAATATGACAAATCTAACCAGAATGGTAAATTGTATCATCATTCTACTTACTTTTTGACACCATGACACTGTTGGGTACAGTTAAACAGACATCTGGTACCATTTACCATACTTTTGGTGAATGCACAGAGTTACGGTCTTTGCTACTGTAGAGTCTGCTGATGATTTACCATACTCATATCACTGTCGATTAAACCATATTTTTTTTCAGTGTACAGTACAAGTTACAATCAGTTTATTGGGTGACTTTGGAAGTTCACGGTCACTAGAATTGCACGAATTGTGTTTCATGAGAAATCTCTCTCTCTCTTACATATAGAAGACCTATGCTACGTGTCGATAGTAAAATTGCAAAAATTCGTATCTCGGTGTCCGGTGTCGCAAACTTCCTGTCATTTTTTATTTTCTACATGGAAAACTACTGGAAACGACATTTTTTCAAAACTCCGGTAATTTTTCTTCTCCATGAAAAAAATACTCTGTGAAAACAAGGCATGATGTCGATTCGATCTCTTTTTAGTGAGTAAAATAGGAACAGAGATTTTGAAACACCACAATGGAGATTGGATACTTGCAGTTTCACCGTCAATCTAAGTCCTTCGTGTGATTTCATTACGATTTTTCATCAAAAAATTATGTATCAATTAATGACTCATCCAAAGTAAGCAATTTTAACCATTAAATTTAACTTTTTTATGCCATTTTTTTCTTTTGCGTTAAAGCGCTGCTTGATTTTCGGGCATCTCCGCTGAGGAGACTTCGGTGTGAGAAAAAAAATCAGAACTGTCGACAGAACTCTCTTTTGCCCACACCAAATTGTCCTCAACGGAGATGCCCAAAAGTAAAGCAGCGCTTTACCAAAAATTTAAAAACGGCACAAAAAAATTAAAAAGTATTGGTTCAACAAGAAAGTACGTAAAATGAATTTACTCTCGACTTGAAATTTTGATTGCAAGAAACTATTGGACTCCTTTCCCCACTCAGGCATGAATATGACGATTTTATGTGCTGGCTCACAATGAAATAGTCGAGCAACGATGTAAATCGAATGTTGTAGCCACCAAATATTTCTATCAGTACCATTGATATGGACTTTTCGACGATATTTCGGCACAAAACGCCTAAAAATGTCTGACAAAATTGAAAGTATTTCTATTTAAAGGAGCTTAAAACCCCTGGTTCAGAGATAAAGCCTATAGGCAGAAAAAAGTAGCACTGAACGTTGATATGGTAGTAGGGTAGGTATTTCTGGCCATTGTAACGTAATCCACAGTTGAGAAAACTTCACCGTTTTTGACAGTTTTTATGTTTAAAATTCTCCCGCTCCGTGCTTCGAAAATTTAGTCTGGGGTCTCAAACACATTGATGATGATTTTAAGTCATCGCTAAGTACACCGTCGTACGGTACCCGGCTCTCTTCCGTGACTGCGTCGATAAAAACCGAATTTTCACCTTCGGCCTGTCCGGATCTTTTCAATAAGTAATAAGCACCGACGCAACCCACAAAAAAATCGTAACAAACACCGGGCAATGGTTCCACATTCCTCTTTAAATGACACAACAAATTGAAAAAATGAAGATCGGAAAAAGGCCAATTTCACGTTGTGGCTCGAGAGTTATCACTCCATTAAAGAGTTTTGACAAATATCTTCTAATATTTCCTCTAACACTAATATTTTATTTGATGCCCCTTAAATCTCTCTTTTGAAGGTTAGTGCATTAGCACTACGGCGGTGCAGTGTTGTCTAATTGTACAGTGTCGAGAAAGGTGATTGATAAAATTGTGGACAGATGGTATTCCCGTCAAATTACTAAAAGGGTGATGAAAGTTATCAGTCCAGAGAGTGTGAGAAATTTCGCTCATTTATTTTTTAAACTTTTATCGAACTCTCGATTAAGATGACAATCGACTCAATGACACCCTTACAAAGCCGATCCTTTGAATGCAGCTTCTGATTTCCCTCGCTTCCGACTTATTTTATCCCAATATGGCTAAGTCACTCTCTACTTGGTTCGATCACTTTATATTTGTTCACAAAAAAAATGATTCCTTAAGTGCACTTAAAAAGAGTTTGGATCATTTCTACAGATATAAACATCATTAGATCGTATTTGACAGTGGTTCGATGTATCGTTTGGTTCAAAACAACAGAACATCACCTCAAACAAACATTTTAGGATTTAATTTGGAAAAGCTGAAAATGAAAAAAATTCCTAACAATTTCACTTTTCATTGTCATTTGGTACTCGAGAGAATACAAATTCGATCACATAAGACCCGTTACCTCAGATTTCTAAATTGACTTTTGAGGCTTTGGTTACAGATTGAACCCATCGATATCAATATAATCTCACCTGTGTGATCTGTCGAATACGATCTATAAAAACCATCAAGTGAACGTGCCGGTAGGGGAGGGGTGTATAAGACGCGTTTACTCGTGTTGAGCACATTTTTTGTAAAAGCCCTGTCAACACTAACAAAAGCTCAGTTCCGTAAACCCATCCCTGTTTGGACAAGGCCTTCCATTTATAAAAAAGAACGAAAACATTATGAAAGAACAAACATAAATGTGGTTAAAAATTTTAACTTCCACTGCCGCGCCGACCGCACTGTGTTGGCGCAATGCGTGAGGTATTCATGCAGTCTTGTGGGCGCTATGCGTTTCAAGCCGACTGCGACTGCTGCTGACCGCAGTGTGTTTGACGCAATGCGTGAAGTATTCATGCAGTCTTGTAGGCAATATGTGTTTCATGCCGACCGCCGCGTCGCTCCGTTCCAGGTTAAATTGTGTGTTTGGTTTCTCTCTTAACTCGACTAATTAAAGGTGTTGTCTCTTGTATCACCGAAAGGCCTTAAAATTAGAAATTACTGTACTTTTCCTCTCAGGAAATGAGAGATTTTGTCGCCTTTTCTCTTTTGTAATTCATGTTCTGAATCCGATTGTTTCCTCTCATTTTTTGATACCTACGTTAAAAAAGATTGCAAAAGCCGCCCCCTAAATTTTGCCGCCATGGGCCGCGGCCCATGCGGCCACCCCCTTAATCCTGCCCTGCATGAAATGTACCGATACACTATTTTTGCAGAACTTAAGTGTGCCTTTTTTAAGGAGAAAAAACGTTATCAGTAATTTCGGATTGTGAAACGTATCAATAAACTTTCGTCAAGAAATTGAATTCAGGAGACTTTTTTTTCGCCTTTCAAAATTTAATTTTTTGTGTGTTCTTGCGTATAATATTTTACCTTTAAGATAATATTAATTGAAATCACAGAATTTCATCTCGTACGTAACGCTCTCTAATAATTTTTTTGCAAGAGTTTGAAAATTGATTTTTAAAATTAAATATGGGAAAACTATTGAATGGATTAATGTTAAGAGTATCCTCTGATTTTAAGTTCAACGATTATTAGTGGATGTGTAACAGAATGACCTAATCTGCTAAAATGCATGAGTCTCAACAGGAAATTCCACTCTATGACGTCACAAGACCGGGTTAAGTTTCATTTTCAAGTCTATTTTCATCCAATTTTGCATCTTAGGAAGAAATTTTAAGGAATAACTTCAATTCGAATCATCAAGCACTTTAATATGAGGCAATGCATTTTTCTAGCGCATTATCTATCGGTATTAGTGACTTGTATTAGAGAGCGTATGTTATAGGATGATCTGTAGAATGGGTGAAATAATCAAAGTCCAATATTAATTTTGAATTTTGCAGTTTTTATTGATATTATCTTTTTTATATTAATTTTTATTTTGGTTCATTATGACGATAGGAAATTAAAGATGATTGGGTTTCGGATGAGGCGTGAAATAAATTAATCGCGATGAATTGAGTGAGGTGGGTTCGGCAGAGGGCGGCAGTCTTCAGTACTTGTGGCTGGATTCCTTATGTTCGTAGCCATGTTGGGGGTAGAGGTTGACGTTCTGGTAGGAGGTAGCGGGTTCGTAGGACTTGCTCTCGTAGCCGTGTCCGGAGGATTTGTATCCGGATGATTCGTGGCCGTATTGCGGGGCGGCGAAGGCGACGGCGATGAGGGCGAAGAAAAGAGCGAGGATTGGCTGAAACAAGATAAAAATCACGATCAGTACGGAAATTACGGAATTTATAGTCGTATTTTACTCCCTGATGACCTGTGGGAAGACCGAGTTTTGTGGCCGTTAGGCGTCGCAGAGCGTCAGAGAGCGCTATGAGAGCGACTCTTATGCATGTATAGTCGTACACTGGAAAAACAAACACATTGGATCTAGAGTCCAGACTCTTAAAAACATGGACAAGAAAGAATACTCAAGAACCAAGCCTCTTAATTTCAGCGGATTTCCTTATGATTTAATCTTAAATCTGATTGAATCAAGAGTATTTTTTCTTGGCAATATTTTCAAGAGTCTGGACTCTAGATCCAATGTGTCTTTTTTTCCAGTGTATTTATATTTCAGTGAAAGTGCCGCAGTGCAGTGTGTGAAGTGCAGTTTATTACTTTGCCGTGTTTTGGAAAAACGCCGTATGAACATTCGAGAGTCGTCGAATCTCCTCGAATAAAACATGTATTTGTGAGGAAAGTTAAGCATAGTTTTCCTCGAAATTTACAGATGTTTAAGATTATATCGCGAAAAAATCACTGAAAATTTTAAAAAGAAACATTCACAATTTTTCAGGTAAATTTAACTTTTATTGAAGGAAATATGGCAACTTATGAGGGCTCATCGGCGTTTTTTCTCAGTACGGCAACACTGGTATATCTGTCTAGAATGAGCCCTATGCAAACTTCAGGTAGAGCAAAACGAGGAGTTATTTATTATAGAAAATAGCTCAGAAATCATGATGACGCATCGTAAAAGTCTGAGATACACTTCTAACTACACATTCTCCCAAAGAAATATACGTTTTTCTAAGCTATCCGCTTTAAAAAAATATTAAGACAGAGGTGAACATTTTCTAAGACATTGCGATGACCGGAGGTTTAAGGAAGCTCTCAACGCAGTAGCGTATAAAGCATTGGCGTGGCGTGCTTTGCGATGAATCGATTAATCTGCCATTTAAAACTGTGGAAAAGGATAGATTATCCGGGCGTTCGCAACGAACACCATAATAATCGATTCTTTACCAAAGGTTTAAACGGGAAAATATCGATAGTACATTATTACGCCTTGCCACTGAGTAAAGGACAAGTTTTAAGAAATTCAGGTGAAACCAATCAGTTTGGCCGAAGAAATAGATCATTGAGAGAACGATTGCAATGTTATGCTACCGGGAAAAAAAAAAAAAAAAAAAAAAAAAAAAAAAAAAGAAAGTAAAGGTTTTATATTTTTGAGAAACTTTAGGATTGGTAGGGATCAGAGCCTCCTTTGATTTAAATTAAAGTTGTAGTGTGGCAATCATATAAAACTGAACATCAGTTTTCCCCGTGAGTAAGTATACAGTGGATAAAGAACACATTGGATCAAGAGTCCATGGACTCTTGAAAACATTGGCAAGAAAAAGGACTCTTGATTCAATCCGATTTAAGCTTAAATCAAAAGGAAATCCGCTCTAATTAAGAGGCTTGGTTCTTGATTTAAGATTAAATCTGATTGAATCAAGAGTATTTTTTCTTGTCGATGTTTTTAAGAGTCTAGAGTCTAGATCCAATGTGTTTTTTTCCAGTGCGATCATTTTTTCCAGTGATCCTTCCGCCGCACTGGAAAAAAAAAAAAAAAAAAAAAAAAAAAAAAGAAAGTAAAGGTTTTATATTTTTGAGAAACTTTAGGATTGGTAGGGATCAGAGCCTCCTTTGATTTAAATTAAAGTTGTAGTGTGGCAATCATATAAAACTGAACATCAGTTTTCCCCGTGAGTAAGTATACAGTGGATAAAGAACACATTGGATCAAGAGTCCATGGACTCTTGAAAACATTGACAAGAAAAAGAACTCTTGATTCAATCAAATTTAAGCTTAAATCAAAAGGAAATCCGCTCTAATTAAGAGGCTTGGTTCTTGATTTAAGATTAAATCTGATTGAATCAAGAGTATTTTTTCTTGTCGATGTTTTTAAGAGTCTAGAGTCTAGATCCAATGTGTCTTTTTTTTCCAGTGTACCTTTAAAAAAGATGAATTTTTCGAGAAAACCGCCAAACTTTACCACTTTGTGCCGGTTGATAAGGCAAAAACCTTTCTAAAATACCCTCATAAAGGAAAATTTCTCAGAGAGTAGTTGACCAAGAGTCAATATGGGCGCACATGTTTGAAAGTATGAAATGTTTCTCCTATCGAAATCACCGAGACGGAACTCGAATTAGTCAATTATATTTTTTACGATTTTATGGCTACAATAGTTATATTTTAAGTGTCAGGACAAGAGACTAACATTCCTATACTGTAGTATGATACTCAATGGTAAATCCGCTTCTAAGTGTAAAACTTCACCTTTTGGTGCCGATCGATCAGGCCGAAAACTTTTAACTAATACTTTAAACGAAGACTTATCTCGACTCAACAGGTAGAGTTGATTCGGGACTATACGAAAAAAGACATTACTACGAGCTTTTTTAATTTTTGATCAAAGTATGGGGGCCAAAAAACCTTTAATATCCTTCATCCACCAAAAGTTTTAATTTCTAACCGCTTTTGAATAATAAACATTTCATCACCGATGCTTATGTAAGAATTCTCATGAGGAGGAACACGATTCGTTTCTGAAGTCTTAGCTATTGAATTTATTGCTATTATTTTTAGTTTCATTAGTGAAAAGAATTTAGAGATCAGGAACACATGAGATCGATGAAATTGGTCTTGAAAGGAGGAGCGCAAATACTACGGCAAAATTCCACGTGAGAATATTATACATTTATATTATTTTATTATATGAATTTTTAATTTATTTTACTCATTATTTTAATGGTGTAAAAGCCTCTTAGTTCATTACTTTTCCAACTTTATTGCCAGATAAATGGGAAAGTAATTGTTTTGGGCTATCCTTAACATGGAGACTATGCTAAAGTTGACTCCAGTTTTGGTCCATTATCAATACTCAGTATCCATATTGTTGAAAGTTCTAGTCAAACAATTTGAGTGGTTATTGAAATTAGTATCAATGAACTTTGAGAAGCTGAAATCCACCGTAAACTAGTACGATACTTATCCGAAAGTTGTAATTTTATCTTTTTTTGATCGAATCGAAAGTATTGCAGATTTTTTAGACGCCCGGTAGGAAACAGAAACAATTTTTACTGAGTACTTACTTGGAAGTTCATGATGATATTTTGGGGTTTGTTGGTTTTTTAAAAGATGTAAAGAGTTTTAGAGCTACGACACAACTGTAACTGAATACTTGATGCAGCCCAGTTATATACTGCGGTAAGCGATAAAAAATTAAGGCGAACAATTGTATAAGAAAAAAAAATAAAAAAAATAAAAAATAACCTCGAAAATCAAATGAACCGAGATCGCCACTCATTAAGAGCGGTGTTTCGAGGTGGTGAGCTTTTTTATGATGTTCAATTTTTTATGTATTTTCTATTCATTGCAACAATATTTTGTCATAACGGGAGTTGATCATAGTGTTTCTGAGCTTGGTTGCTCATTAGAAATGGGTGATCTATCACATAATGACTGATATCATTTAGTGCGTGCGGGGGAATACTGCTGAAGGATTTTTTTGTAATTTTTTTTTTCTCAGAGTGAGAGCAAATGAAACGGACAAGCAATAAACAATAATCGGTCTCGACACTCAGCACGTAGGCAGAGAGGAAGTAGAAGGACAGAGAAATAAACAAATTAATCTGAATTAGTCACCACACTCATTTTTTAAAACCGGGCACGGTTTAATGGTCTTACGGTTTTATGGGAGCTTTTTTTTGTTTTGATAGTCAGTCCCCTTCTCACATGTTACGGGTGGTTTATATATTCGCCAATGAAAGTTTCGTTATTCAACGTTTCCACGTATTTCCATATGAGCTTGTTCATAAATTCAATAGGCCCATCGGTCGTTTTCTAGTAGAATTTACTTTAATTGGTGTTTTCATGTAAGGAGAATCGTTTCTTATTATATCATCACGATTCGCAGTCATAATCTAATTAAACTCGGATTCTATTCACATCGCAAGTATGCGAATTTTGATCGTAAGGTAACCAATGTTTTATGTGCGTATAGGATTCCCAAAGAGAAATGCCGCGAACAATAATAATTTCCTCGTATAATTTGCCAGTAATGAAAATGGGAACAAAAACTAAAATTTTCGGCTTTTAATTAAAAAAAAAATTAAAAAATGAGCGGCATATTTGTAGATTCTCTTGAAAAAAAGATGGTCTATGGCGCTCCTTGGTGTTCTACGACACCTGACCACCACTGCCTCCTGTCGAACCACAATCTATCACCTTAACATTTCTGTTTCATTCCCATCCCTTCAACCTCTCATTGGGCGCCCTCTGAGCCTTTTCCCAGGAGGAATACAATCAAGGACCTTCTTTGGCAATACCTGTCTCCTCTGCCATTCTCTGAACATGACCCTACGAAATAAGTTGTTTTGCCATAAAGTCAAAAAGATTACCATATATATCTTTCTGAAATTTACTTTCCTGCAGTTCAAATTGTTTTCTCAACTTAACTGTGAAAATTTTACTGAGTGTATTTTCCCATCTGAAGTTTTCACACTTTATGGGATATCATAAAAAATTGCCCGATTTATTTGAACACTGCTAAAATTTGTGGTTAATAATCTGTCATATTTTGCAATGATATGGTTAATCTGACATTTAAGCCGAAGGATTCTTATGTGCCCTCACCGTAGGTGGTACCTAAAATGAGTTTGCTCTCACGCCAATCCGTCGGGGTCCGAATCCTGACCCTAGGTTCAGCATGAGAGAGAATTTAAACCTATGGTAAATAAACTATCATGGGGGTATTCCTAAGGATACTCTGATAATCGTTTCTTCTCCAAAGCTCAATGGATAAAATGTTGATAACCGATGAGTCACGCTTTGCGACTGTTGATGGTGAAGAATGCACGTTGATTATTTCAGATTTTTTTTCGTTGATCGAATTAGTGTGATCTCCAATGAGGCGTCATGCATCATTTTAAGTATATATCATATTTTCATTATCTATATCCAGTCAAATCAATATATATCTTCCCCTTCTGATCAATCAACAATTCAACTCACAGGATTTTTAATTGTAATGAATTTTGTTTCAATAGTGACAATTCGTTGACTTTTAATTTAGATCTAAAACTTAACCCTCAATTGTTCTTAACACTTTCAGTGCGTCATTAACTTCAAAATTAATTCGTGGTTCGGCAACATTATAAATAAAAACGGCGCGTTTCTTGCTGCTATATGAGATCCGACACGTAGGAGTAAAAAATTCTATCATGATCTAATGGCCTAGGCAAAAAAATTAACAAAAAATATTCGTGTCATTAAGTAATAATACTTTGAGGTGAATGACTTAAGTAAGATCTTTACGTTTTGTCAGTTTTTAATAAATCTGAATTATTTGCGTGTATGAACGCTCTTGGGTTTCAAAATATTATGTGTGCTCTTTCGTTTCTCAGAAATTGTAAGCCTTTGTATTTTCCCTCTTAACTCTGTTTTCGTAAGTTTAGTTGACTGACGGATTTGATCTGATTAGGCACAAATCAGGTCTGAAACACAGGAAAACCTTGCGGTAACAATTATAGACAATTCTGACTTAGTGGAATTACGACATTAAGGCTTCCCACTGTCACCATAGTTGAGTGGTCAAGTAATAGTTATTAAACTTACATGACGTATATTAATCCTATTAGTTTAATCAACTCAAGTTTATTTTGAGTTTCAATTGCCAATCAGTTAATTCTATCTGAATATCCCCCTCCCTGCAGTGTTATAACCTATTGCAAAATCAGTAATTATTCTTTAGGTTTCAAGAATTCGTAAATTTTTTAACCTCTGATTTGATCAATTGCCTAAGCGACTGATAAAATCTATGGTCAGAACATGGATACTAGAAGCAGTAGAAAGACTACAGAAGCTAGACTATAGAATCAAATGCATCTCTTATATTATCAGCGAATGCTTATTTCAATGTCAAGGCAGTTTGAAAACTGGACTGATCATTTTTCCAGGGACACTGATAATTTTTTTCTAGTACATTTATATTATTTTTGAGCATTTGATTTTTGAGCTTATGATTTTTGAGAATACGATGAAAAGAAGACAAATTTCAGTTGAAACTCGGAATTTTTTAAAGTCACATTTACCTTGTAAAAATATACGTTCTGCAATTTATAACGCCGAAAGTGAGTTTTGATTTGCGGAAACTATTTCCTCTTGGGACCCTCTCTGTTGGAAATATTTATGAAGGGATTTCTTTTTTCTGTTCCTATCATCAACTTTTTACAGTGAAAAATACTTCAAAGAGGATAAGGAAACATTAATCTTAAACTGTTTAATTAAATATGGGTTTTTCCGTCGCCATTCTCTTTTCGAAAGTAATCTTTGTCGCGCGTCAAAACTACCTCTTACGGATCTGAACTCTTTCACGAAAATGAAGGCCCTGAGTTCCTGGCTATACATGATTCCTAGGAAATCTTGTAGCCATTACCAGTTTTCTGATGATGCTCATCATGCAACTGGTAAAAGTAGCCAAATGCAAGATTGACATTAACAGAAATATAGTTTTGGATCACAGATTCTTCGGGAATCACGCAGGAATAAAGACAATGATTAGGAATGGAGGAACCACTGTTTTTAGCTTCGTATTTTTTATCCTGCGCTTTGGTAATATTCCCAACAAAAAACTCAAGAACCAAATATACCAACAATTCTCGAATAAGCATATCGTACCTTTTTTTTATGCAAATGCAAAAGAGAAATGTATTAAAATTTACTTTAGGTGTCCGCAAATTGAACGTTTTATATGTCATTTAAAACAAATTTTCACAATTGAGTGTTAATTTTCACAATTAGAGAAAGTGATTTAAAAGAAAAAATGAACATCTGCAATCGGTAAACTGCAGCAGGGAAATATTTAAAGTGCAGGTAGAAAAGGAAAAATATACAATGAAACTACAAAAATTGGAAAACAAGAAAACAAAGAGTTATTTATTAATTTTTTTTTCAATTCTTTGGTCAGCAGCAAAATGAAACTTATAAAAATATCGTGTTTTTCCTCGGAAATTACACACATTTATAGACCTAGTGATAAAGACACACTTGAAAGACGTGAGGGTGCAATACCTCAAACAAAAACTGGCAGAAAATCGATTAGCACACCCGAAGTGGTGGCAAGTTCGATGCTCGCCAAAATAGCACTACCAGTGGAACGCAGAAAGTCATCATTCAACTTCTAAAGAGTTTATCCACTAGAAAGTTTTTAGTGGGCAGATCCGATAGTGAACTCGTAGGAGCTATGAACCGCAGATGGGTCTGATTTTGCCTGCTGTGCTGACGAGTAGCCGGACTGTGGGCTGTATCCGGCACCCGCACTACCTGCCTGACTGCTGTAAACAGAAGCTCCAGACTGTCCTTTGTAAGCACCGCTGGATTGCTCTCCGTAAGATTCCTCGGAAGCTCCGTAAGAAGACTCAGTCTGGGTACCGTAAGAAGATCCAGATTCCCCAGCGGAAGAGGCTCCGGATCCTTTGTAAGAGGGAGTCTTCGGCGATGCCCGCTTGTAGGTGGGTGCTGAGTAGGCGGAGGAGCCTCCAGACTGAGACTTGTAGGCGGATCCGGCGCTAGATGCGGCGGGCTTGAAAGATCCGGCGGGGTAGGTGGGGGCGGAGAATACAGCTGCGCCCTGTTGTCCGTAAGACTCGTCCGCAGACTGACCACCGTAGGCGGATTCTTGGTTGTAGGCGTATTGTCCGTCAGACTGGGCGGATTCAGGCTGGTAGGCGGAAACTGGGGCTGCTGCCTGGGGGTGCTCATTGTACAGCTGTCCGTGGCCGCCGAAGAAAGAAATGAACTGAGAGGACGAGGCTGCGCCTGGGCTGTAGGCGGGGGCTTCCTGGGGGTAGGCGGGAGCTGGAGCTGGGTAGGCGGGGGCGGCAGCATAGGCGGCGGCGGGTCCGGCAGCGTAGGCGGGGGCAGGAGCGTAGGAGGCGGCTGGCTGAGTGTAGGTGACCGCCTTTTGAGAGTAACCTGGGGATCCCTGTGAGTAGGTTTTTTGGGAGGGCTGTGGGGCTCTGTAGGTGTATTGTTGTGCGGTTGCCATGGAGATGAGTGCTGCTGCGAGGATAATCTGAAACATCGGGGAAATCAGGAGGAGCTTAGATTATGAAGGAATCTCAGAAAAATATCAGTTACACAATGCAGGACTCATAAGTAACGTGATAACGATGCAATTTGAGGTTTTTCCCATAAATTCTGTCATTGATCTGCCGAAAATAGTTTTTTACCCGTGTCAGCTCAGCATGTATTCCGCGTCTTTTTATTTTTTGAATGAAACTAATTACGGATTGCTCAAGCTAAAAGAGCATAGGTGCGACTGTGTTTATCTCGCCTCTGAGTAAGTTCTACGAGAAAAATTGGCTTCTTGACTCATGTATTCATTTTTATATTATCTCTTGGAAGAAGCAAGCTATTGGGACATTTTCAAGTTCAATAATTTCTCTCTCCTGTCGATAAAAAATGGGATTTATTAAGCGAAGAGTGCAACGAGGAGAGAAAATTTCAAAAAAAAGAAAAAAATGTTCTTCAGACGGTCTTGGTAGATTTTGTAAAAGCTTTTAAGTACCCTCCTCTGAAGTTTCAATGATTCATCTAAAATTTTTGCTGCGCCATCCGCTTTTTCTGGAACTAAGAGGAGGCCGACGGACCTATAATGATTGTACAAAATGTACAGTAAACATTTTTGACGGACTCCTTTTATTCGTAAGTGAAAATATTGGTGCCTTAGCCAAATGAAAACGAGATTTTTCAAAATTTCCATTTCTGTTTTAATTTGGACTTATTTTCATCACATGTGGGTAAATTGTTTCCAAATAAATTCCCTCGTCAGTCATTTTCATCTGACTCCACAAAAATGTCCTTCCCAAAAGCTTCAGTAAATGCATACGTTAGCTCCAAGCATTTTCAATTTTATCGCCCTCTCAAGAACGGATTCCATCTTTGAAATTTTTCATATCTTTTTCTTGAAAATGTTTGTCTTCAAGATAAAAATTGACTCTCTTGTAGTCATCTGCACTTGCACCGTATGTATTGACGATCAAAATGAAGAAACTCTTCTATAGTTGTGTTGTTCTCATCAGTTACTAAGAAAGAAAGGGCTTGCAATAATATTTCGAGTGAAGTAGAAGTACTCCTTGAAAAACGATAAATGTGTGCATTCAGTGGGTTGTACTCAGTGAGGATCTTTAATCAACAGAATTCCACTTTTTAGGAGCCGATCGAAGAATCAGCAGGAATGAAAAAGCAGGAAAAAAAACTAAAATGCAAGTCGGTATTACTTTTTGGCGACTTTAAAATATTGATTGTTCCAGCATCAATCTTCATCCGAAAAAAAAATGAAGTACACACCTTATAAACTGCATTATGAAAATTAAAGTTTTTTCCACCTCTTTTTACTGATTATGCCAATTTTTAGTCCATACATGATTTCCTTCATCAATTGTTGCATTGATACAGCGTTTTCCTTTTTGTTTCAGGTAATTTTGATTCCGCTTAGTCTTCCAATTGATGAAATTATTTTGAGAAAATGAATCATTCTGGTAATGTATGTTAATTACTGATCACAATTTTTTCAGTTTGTTTCGGGTGGTCCGTTAATAGAAACTGATCGTGAATACCGTTTATACTTTGAAAATGGCATACCGAATAAATGCAAGAGCTTGTCAATTCAAGGTGAATTTATCGATGGATACGAAACGTTTCATGAACCAAAAATTGTTTCAAGTTTCGGTAAAGGTCGAGATACACGAACAAATTCTGATCAAAGCATACCAGTCAATGACTGATGATCATCATTCAACAGTTCTCTTTGATCAAAATTGGACGGGCCGTCAAGTTTTGATCAGAATGTGAGTGCCGCTCTCCATCATTTCCTGCCGCACGAAACATTTCTGCCAAGTTTCAATTTTAAAATGAAGCAAAGTAATGATTTTAAGACTGATGACTCCCTACATTTTGATAGCAATTGGTTCAGGAATTCGATGGTGTATACCATAAGAAGATTCAAGTACGAACCTATTTTGGTTAGAACTGGTAAAATTCCCCACCCTCCAAAGTTTTCGGAAATGTCGTGACGTGGAAAAGTCGCGGACCTCAAGTTTTCCTTTTATTCGCCTTCTTTTTTATCTTTCAAGGGTACTAAACGCTCGAGTCAAAAAGTACATGGTAGTGAGTTTACTTACTTGGAACGCCATTCTGCCGATTAACACTTTCGATTTCACTGTTAAAACTACTCCACGGCCCGGATCCCAAAGTCGATATGCCGCTGGACCCCAGAAAAAAGAAGTATTTATATCGACATACACGTTCCGCGGACCCAGAGGTTTATGCAACTGAAAAAAGAAAGAGTCAAGATGCTCCAAACGCCCCCTTTCCAAGTCCTTTGTTTCCTCCGACGTGAAATTTATGCGGTGAGTAAGCGGCCGGTCTGGCAGAAGATCAAGAGGGGGTGGGGAAAGGAGGAATCAGGCCCACGTAACGGACTCCGGCCGTTTTCGGTTGACTCGCCGGATCCCCCCGAGAGCCCCGGGCATTTGGAGACAGTTGAGGAAATGAGTGCAAAAAACGAGATGATGCTCTTGTTTTGCTCGCGATGGTTGCCACGTTCACGGGAAAAAAGTTGGATGATTTCAGCTCCATGCCCAGCTGATTTTAACGGGAGCCAGAGTACTTGCACCAGCCAGAGAGCTGGAACTTGACAGACACACGGGAAAAAAGAGGTAGCAGTCGTTCAATGTTCAATGAGATGGGCATTTCCAATTAATAAAATTGTGGTAGTACCTCAATGAACTACCTCAATCAACCCCCAATAATTAAACCCAAATGTTGACGTACTACCCCAATTTGAGGTGCAGCATTACCAATATTTGTTTGACTGAAAATGTTCGTACACGCAGAAAAAAACTTTGTGCATTGGACCCGAAGTTGAGGTCATATGGATCTCTGAAGTTTTCTGATCACGCATCCGAAAACTTGAGGTCGAGGTGCCGAAGTTCGGGTCAGACATTGAGGCACTTCGGTATGTGCCGGAGTACTTCAGATGTGCGACCCGAAACCCTTCGGTATACGTTGAAGTACTTCAGATGTCTGACCCGAACTTCGGCAGCTGGACCTCAAGTTTTCGGATGCGTGATCATAAAATTTCAGAGATCCATATGACCTCAACTTCGGGTCCCACGCACGAAGTTTTTTCTCTGTGTATCATCCAACAAATCTGGGTAAAACCACAGAACACTTTTTCTCCGTGCAAATCTGTAGACAAAGAAGACAAGGATGAAATGGAGCGATCATTATGGTGGAGACGAGTGGTTGTTGTAGACAAATGCAGAAAATAATGCCCTGATTATAAGGACCCTCGGTGAGTTCCCGCGTTAGTTAGTCTATTACTTACATCCGTTGTCTATTGCAGAAACCCACTTCCATCAAAATGATCCCTCTATTCCCTCTTTGCCATCTTTTCTTATTGCTTTGTTAACCAATTTCAATAGACAGCCCGCAGAGGTACGGTTAGGTCAACTTGAAATGAAATCAACCATACCTCCGGCTGGTGAAACTTTCTGGCTGTCGCCAAAGACAGCCAGGAATATAGCTGAAATCATCGTACTTTTTTCGTGACGACATTTCCTGTAATCAGACTGGAGGTTTTGACACGCTTGCAATGGACCAAAAGATGAGGTAAGAATTGAACCTCTTATTACTGTCTTAATACAGTCAACACTAACTTACAATAGCGAGAAATTGACGTTTGTTATATATACATTTTAAACACTGAGTGTAAACTTTCTGGAGACGAAACACCATAATCAAGGAAGGATGGATTAGCCATGGAAAACAACCCTTAAGTTAGGAAAATAATTGAGGATTACTGTCATACCCATTTTCCTCCTGCTTTGCGTGGCAATAATTTTAATATTACCGAACAAAATTTACCTCATTATTTCAGATCAAAGCTGACCCATAGTTCAAAAGTCCCAGTATAATTATTCAATAATAAAAAGAGGAAACTTATTTTTTAATATCACAATGAAGAAAAACATGCATTTTGGAAAGTAAAAACATTTATCAACCGGAAATGCAGATTAACCATGATCGGTAAAAAAGTCCTCCGTTAACTAAAACATTGACTGAACTTGTATTGTCTTTAATTGGCAGAGTACCCTAACGACACGACGCACAGTTGACGGACTGTCAAAACGCGCTGCAAAAACTTTTGATGTGGAAAATTTCTTCATTCTTCTGTTTTACCGTTGAAAAAATATTTGCCATTGATGAATCCTCCACTTTATCCGCATGGGACCGTCCACAAATGGACCTAGTTTAGCAAAAACTAGCGAAGTCGCATTTTGGGGAAAAAATCAGGTGGAAGTAATTTGAATTCAACTACTTGTGAATTTTTTTCTGTCAAAAGTTTTAAGTCCAGGCGCGGAAGATTATTTTGAATGTGAAAATAGTCGTTCAACTTCGTCTTTCACGTCTTATACTGATATCCGAGCAAAGAACAATGATCTTGGTATTAGCGCCTTGATGCGCAACTATTCGTGCTCTATGGACATCCTCGGTGCATGCTAAAAATTGAAGGCATTCTAGACTTTTTCAATCATGAAGCAATGCTTGCAGCGACAGGCTGATTCCATCACAAGGCGGGTGGCCGAATATACTATCCTGATTTCTGAGGGTACTGCGGAAATATCTGTTGCTTCTCTTGCCTTAGTTTTTATCAAAAATTTCATATTGCCATTAATATTGGTAACGATGCGGCACACGCTACTGTCTGCATTGCTTCATGGACAAGAGGGACTAGAGCGCCTTCTATTTTTTTATATGCAACACGCATGTCCCTTGAGTACGATTAGTTGTATCAAGGTGTTAATATCAATATCATTGAATGCGATGCCAATGTTAGCTGTGATATTAGTTCAAGAAGTGTATTATTCTCCCTGCGTGTCATTGAAAGAATTCATCGAAAAAACCTGCCCATTATGGCGTGCTCGTGCTTTGAAATACATCGGTTCAAAAACAACTTTAAACGGTGTTATCTTATTATATGGGGTATAGTTTCATCAGTTGATGCTACAAAGTCACTAAGCCTGTTATTGATACTACAATCTAGCGATCAGTCGTGATAAAGCGTTGCAAATTATACACAAGGTGCTCCAGACCACGTATGCCAGGTTTTTTTCTCCGTTATTTTAGATTGTAAGCTGTTAGAAACGGGGTGTTTAAATAAGGAGTGAACCCCAAGAATCAGATTTTCGAGGTTCCCTCAGCTCCGTTGGAGTCTGTTAGTTTGTCAGTTTTTGTCCTTCCTTAAAAAAGGCTGGAAGGATCACTGGAAAAAATGATCGCACTGGAAAAAAACACATTGGATCTAGAGTCCAGTCTCTTAAAAACATCGACAAGAAAAAAATACTTTTGATTCAATCAGATTTAAGCTTAAATCAAGAACAAAGCCTCTTAATTTGAGCGGATTTCCTTTTGATTTAAGCTTAAATTTGATTGAATCAAGAGTCCTTTTTCTTGTCAATGTTTTCAAGAGTCTGAACTGGAGATCCAATGTGTTTTTTTTTTTTCTTTTTTTTTCCAGTGCGGTTGAAACATGATGATTCTTGCATTAGCCTCCAAGAGTTTATCTCATCTTGATCCCAACTAATTTTCTCTTGAAGCAAGAACTAAATTCTCATGTTTAAACAAAAGAGTTGCTTAAATTAAGCAGCATCATTGTTCATTCAAGAGAAAATATTTCTTGGCGAAAAATTTAAGAATAATTTTGCACTTTTACTCTCAGTGAATACTCCGCAAACGAGGTACGCGTTTTTGCAGTTTCACCGTCGATTTCCTCCTTTTGGGAATGCTGAATTTTTGGTCGTAAAAAGTCCTGTTTTGGAACCTGTGCGATGTAGAAAGTTATCGCTCCGCATTGCCAGGCCGCCGACATTTGGGCAGTGGTCTAAGTTTTTTGCTCGTATATTACGCGCATGGCCTAGACGGGAAGGATGGACGATTCCAGTAAAGTCTGGGGAGCCCATGCAGAAAAAAAGATCGCCGCGGCAGGCACGTTCTTAAAATCCGAGACACCTTTCGCTTTTGGTTCTTTCCGCTCCCCGTTTCCTCGCCTGCTTCCGATTCTTATGCGCCAGACGTGTTGCCACATTTTTCCTAAGATAGCGTTTTTGCACCAATGTGATACATGGGATCAAAACATGCATCTTCGTGATTTTTTTTTCAACAGCACTCACACAAAAATTCACGTGATCATGGTTACTTTGGGTTATTTTCTGTTCCTTCTTTCGGTCAAATCAACGGTACACGGACTTTATGTCCACTTTTTTTACGTCCGCAGAATTTTCGTCCACAATTTTTACGTCCACAGTTCTAAAGCCCACACTATTTTTAAGTCCATTACTTAAACGGCCACTAAGTCAAGTCCACAAATGTAAAGTCCACTAAAATCAAATACAAGCGTCAGTTTGAAGCGTTTCCTCAGTCACTCCGCGAGTTTAAATATTAGAGCCTAACACAGAGCGGAGCGGCGTGTTAGCAGCGCAGAACACGCAATGGCGCCTACAAACCTCACGGGATACTTCTCGCATTGCGCAACGCGTGAAGTATCCCGTTAGGTTTGTAGGCGCCTATGCGCGTGTCACGCTGGTTACCTGCCGCGCCGCGCCGCAACGCTTTAAGCAACTATTTCGCGTCAGAGGTGTTGCACGTTATCCTACAAGATTAAAGGCGCACGAAATAACCAGTTACAGAGGACTTTCAATTTTGACTGCATCTGTTACTGAAAAATGTTTCATTTGGCATTGGAGCGTTTCCTAGGCTCCCGCTTTGGTTTTCATCCTATCATATCCGTACAGTGTACCATGAACATATGTTTTTATCTGCTCTTAGAGTCTGTTCTCTTTCATGACTTGATTCATGAACGAAATGTTTTTTTAAGAATGAAGGTAGTAGGAGTATGCATTTATTTTTAAGGTGGTTCCTGTCATTTAAATGAGAGGAAAAAAATGTGGACATAACATGTCCACAATTTGGACAATTTTGGACATATTCATGGTTGGACATTAAATCATATGGACCTCATAAAGACTGGACTTAACGTTTAGTGGACATTAATAGCGGTGGACATTTATTTAATGGACGAAAGGTAGGTGGACACAAAGTCTTGGAAGCAAATCAACCGAAAAGACTTGGACTTAGTAACACATTTTATCATATGTTTCTGTCATTTGCAGTGAAATCAATACCACAAATTGTTCATTTTCAGTTGACTGGAAAAAAGTTACGGGCTGTATAGACATACCGTCTGTCCCGGGCTCCAAAATAATGACATAGCCAAAATAATGTACTAATTTTTGTCCTTGAAATTTTTTTCATTCGCCCT